ATGAGCAAGCCGCCACTCTTGTCTGGCACCTGGGGGATACTCTAGACTTTAGTATGTCTCATCCACGTGCAGTTCAAGGCTGGCCGCCGGCGAATGTGATTCGAGTCCAGCTTTGGACAGGATGGACACGTAATTGGACAGTTTGTGGAAATTTTGCACAGCTCAGGAGAGACAAAACGTTTCCGTCTCGGGACTCTCCGACTTGCACAATGGACAGAAAGCTTAACGGACGGACGTCCAAGTAACGTGTATGAATCGGATTCGTTTTATTTATCGCCATATACTTCGTAGTCGGCGCCACAGGCTGCTTTGCGGCAATTGAAGTTGTACAATGAGCGGCAACACGTATTCCCGAAAGTAGGATTGGAGCTCGGGGTCGAGTGCGGTCGCGGCGAACTCGACCATCGCGCACTCGCCCGCGCCCAAGTAGAGCTTGGTCACGATCGAGACGAGAAATTCGCTGCGCTGGCTCATGTGGAACCGCGGCACATCGGTGGACGCCGGGCCGCGCCGGGCGTCGACGCGGCAAGCATCCATGGCCCGCGAGAGCGCGCTCTCAAACTGGCTCCGGAGTGCCTGGCGCCGCTCGATCTCGGCGAGGATCGCCGGCGTGACAAAGGTGAGTCCTTTGCTCCGTGCCACCATTGAAATACGTGGCGCCTCTGGGAGCACACGGCTTCGCTTGATGACTTGAAGGATTGACCTTTTGGTTCGAACACGGTGCATGGCCGGCGCTGCCTCTGGAACGGTCGGCGGCAGCACTAGGCTTCTCTCCAGCGGCAGATTGTTGGTCGCATTCTGCGCTTCATGTGGCTCTTTTGGGCCCACCGCGCTGCCGCGATGCGACATCTTGGACTTGGACGAGTGTTTTGAGAGCACGACAAGCGTTCGAATGCTCGTCGAGAGGTACGTGCCGTGGCCTCGTACGCGGTTGAGAAACGTTTGGCGCGCCGACTTGTCCATGGTGCCCCCGCGCTTCCGCTGCGCTTGCGCTTCCAGTGCGTGGAGCGACATGCAAATACGCTCGAGCGACAAGCTCAACTTGTAGCTGCTGTGCCAGAGCCAGAACGCAGCGTGGATCGTCGCAATCGCGTCTTGCGACAACATTTCTGTCGCGTTCGCGTTCGCCTCGGTTGTCGCCGCGGTCAGAATCTCGGCCACCACGTGCGCACATTTGGTGACAGTGATAAGAGAGGGCTGCCGCAGACCCAGTACGAGCTGGTAAAAGGTTTGCGGGTTTCGGAGCCACAAGCTCGGTGGTAAAACGGCGCTGATGCACGTACTATGGACCGTGTGGACGGCGTCAATGACAAGCTTGGCTTCCGACGACGCGCAGAGGGCGGCGAGGACGTGCAAGAAGACGACTTTGCTGAGATGCCAGTACCGCGCCTTGTAGCATTGCAGAAGAAAGACAGCGATGTTTTCTTGCGCGCCGCCGATGTAAATGTTGTGTAAAAGCACGTCGATGCTGTACTTGTACAAGTCTTGCATGTTGTCAACGGCCGAGTCTTGGGATTGCGTGATCGAGAGCCACGGCTTGTCGCGAATGCGCACGATGGGGCACGGTGACGGTACGATCGTGTCGGATGAGACCGAGCTGCGGTGGCGCTTCATCGACGCGTGCGGCGCGACCTTAGCTGGCGCCGTCACCGTCGTCGGTGTCACCACTAGTCACATGACAAAGTGCCGCACACGCAAAGAGAGACTGCACAACTACCTTGTATGTCGTTGATGCGAGCAACCTTGATACGCTTCTCGG